TAGTTAACAGTTAAGTACAATGTGAGTATTCCATTTCTCATCCTTATCCTCCCTTATATACCCCCAGAAAGTAAAGTAACTTCTAGTTAGTTAACTATAACATTTAATATGTCACAATTCAATTGAGGAGATACCTAATATGTTTTAGATTTTTAGTGGTATGTATTATTGCCAGGTGTCTCATTTATGTAAATACATATTTTCAGGATTCTGCAGGAAAAGGTCATGAAAGAAAACAAGTACTCAGTGCATTCATTAGTTCCATCAGTGTTAGGTGGTTTCCACGTGCCAGGCATGGTGATGGGACTTGATTTCAGAAATCAATAAGACATACTTTGAGAGGCTGAGGCAGGCAGATCACTTGAGGTCAGGACTTTGAGACCAGCCTGGCCAACATAGCAAAACCCCATCTACTAAAAATACAAAAATTAGCTGGTGTGGTGGCATGCACCTGTTGTCCCAGCTACTGAGGAAGCTGAGGCACAAGAATCACTCGAACCTGGAAGGCGAAGGTTGCAGTGAGCGGAGGTCATGCCACTGCACTTCAGCCTGGGCGATAGAGCAAGACTGTCTCCCCCAACAACAACAAAAAATTGCTTATTAAATTTTAAAGAAACATTATTTTTTATTAAATAAAAAAAAATAAAGAAATCAACGAGATAAACCCAGTCTCTTATCTCAAGCAGTTTAGTCATATACAAAATACAGTCAACTGACTCAGTGAGAAAGCTTGGGCTGGAGGTAACAGAATGGCTAACTCAAACTGGCCGAAGCAATAGGAAATGTATCAGCTGTCACAGAAGGTGGTTAAGGATAAGGCTGGGCTCCAAGTTTGCTCAGTCCAGTGACCTAGTTTGCCATCAGAGAACCAGTTCTTTCTATCTCTACCCTTGCTTTGTAACCCACAGGGTCAGCCTGATTCTAAGGCTGGTTCCCTCGTCGTCATGGCACAGCTGTCCATGGAAACTTGGGCTCATGCTCGCTTGTTAATTTGGGAGGCATAAGGACTCCTTGCGGCTCTCTTAAGATTAAGGAAGAACTTTTCCACACATCTCCAGCAAACGTCTCCTTGTATTTCATTGGCCAGAACTGACAACATCTATTCCCGATCTGCCCATTCCTGACAAAATCATTGGGAAAAGAATAAGACTATCCTAGGCCGGTCCGTGGATAGGGACCGGCTTTCCCTAAGGCCTGTGTGTGAGCAGCAGAGATAGATACCTGAAACAACAACAGCAAAACAGTCTTCTGCTAAAGAGAAAGAAAACAGAAAAGGTGTCCTCAGAGGAAACAATGTCCACCACAAGCATACAATGAGCAAATGACAGTGAGTATGTGTATAATTCGAGGGAGTGTGAGTGAAGAATGACATCTTTGCCATTTTCTTTTTAACGTTCCATAGGATCAGAGCGGCACTGAACCTGTTAGTAGTGAGGAAGATGGCAGCCTCGAAGTTGGTATTAAACAATTGCCTGAAAGTGAAAGCTTCAAACTGGTGAGAATCTTGAGTATTTTTCATCCTGTGTTCTGTTTAGGAATGTATCACTAATATTTTGTACCACCTTGGAAAGAACCACCTATCATGTTTGCTTCTCTCAGGAATCTTCGTCTCTGAGACGAGAAGCTATTTTATGTAGTGAGTGACCCATTGACTCTGAAAAAGAGCATCTTCTCTTACCTTGTTGATACCTGAATTGTGCTGTCTGAGATTAAGGAAGGAAGCTCTCCGTTTCTTTTTTTTTTTTTTTTTTTTTTACGGAGTCTTGCTCTGTCACCCAGGCTGGAGTGCAGTGGCCGGATCTCAGCTCACTGCAAGCTCCTCCTCTCTGCAACCTCTGCCTCCCAGGTTCAAGCGATTCTCTTGCCTCAGCCTCCTGAGTAGGTGGGACTACAGGTACACGCCACCATGTCCAGCTAATTTTTATATTTTTAGTAGAGATGGGGTTTTGCCGTGTTGGCCAGGCTGGTCTCGAACTCCTGACCTCAGATGATCCACCTGCCTCAGCCTTCCAAAGTGCTGGGATTACAGGTATGAGCCACTGCGCCTGGCCTGCAATTTCTCCTTTGTATCTGGCTTAATATTGGGTTTTTATAAGGCCAGAGCTGTGCTTAATTAGTCCTGGAGGCACAAGAAAAAAATGTTAAATTTATTCCATCGATTCCAAGCAAAGATACTTAAACTTACCCAGGGGCTAGGGTACATCCTTATGTACCCTAATTTTTGATATTTTATTATTTAATAGTTATTGAACATTTGTTGCATATCAGACACTGTGCTGTGTTCTGCATACATTTCCTGTTCTTTGATTTTCCTACACATGAGGAAACTGAGAGTTAGAGAAGTTAACTAACTTGCCCAAGGCCCCCAGCCAGTATGTAAGAGGCTGGGAGATGGCTCCCCTACCCTCTGACTCCCATGCCTTGGCTCATCATCTGCTTTTCTGTTTTGTAGCCCAGCACTTCCAGGGTTAGACTACAAATTCTAGAAAGAAATGTAGGCTTTTTTCCCTCTGTGTTTAAAAATGCCCTACAAATCTCAAAGACTTAATCACTTAGGAGTGTCATCTAACTCTGATTTTATGACAGCTCAGAGTTTTTAATTTTGCTTCAGGGCATTTGAGAAATCATCCATTTATCCTCTTTCAGGTTTTGGGAAATATATATTGTGACTGCTACAGATTGCATGTCCTAGAAAGTGAGCTTATTCTGGTGGAAGGGAAAGGACGTTTCAGCAGGAGTGGAAATTGTAATGAGCCACTCATGAATAAACCCTCCGTGGGACCTGAGACCCCTGGCATTAAAAAATAGCAGCAGTTTATTTATCAGAGATTGACTAAAAAAAAAAAAAAAAAAAGGCCAGCACAGTGGCTCACGCCTGTAATCTCAACACTTTGGGAGGCCGAGGCGGGCAGATCACCTGAGGTGGGAATTGGAGACCAGCCTGACCAACATGGAGAAACCCGGTCTCTACTAAAAATACAAAGTTAGCCGGGCGCGGTGGCACATGACTCTAATCCCAGCTACTTGGGAGGCTGAGGCAGGTGGATCGCTTGAACCTGGGAGGCAGAGATTGCGGTGAGCCAAGATCGCGCCATTACACTCCAGTCTGGGCAACAAGAGTGAACCTCCGCCTCAAAAAAAAAAAAAAAAAAGAATAATGGCACTAAAAGATTATGACTTCCCTTTCCAAAAGGTAGAATGCATTTTTGCACTAAAGAGAAATAAAGAACAGCAACAAATTTCAAACTGAAAGCCCCTTTACTTAAAAATATGTTAACTTGTTCTTTTTGGCACTGTATCTCCATAGTCAGGTTAGGGGAAAGTCTTTTAAAGCAACAGAATTTTGTAGGTAGGGGTCCCTGATTTCATCCACAGAGGAAATGGCAAAAAGAGTGAGACTACTCTCTTGCTTCCTGGAAGAGTCTGGTAGTCCCAGCCAGGCTCATGTGCAGGCCAAAGGTAAAAGCCATCCATCATCTACTCCCAGTTCCCAAGTAAGCAACACCAGTGATAGGGTTGCAAGTGTCAAGACGGTTGAAGAGGCAGAGGGCCTGGAGGCCTGAGGGTCCTTTTTAGACAATATTTCATACTGCACTTCACCAATTGCAGGCTTTCCCAAACCCATTGACTAGTGTCTGTCTTTTTCTACTCTGTTCCCTCCCTTACCCACTGTCTCTCCTTCTCATCCTGGAGTTTCTTAATCACTGTTTTCAGTAAATCTATGCATGTTCTAGTTCAGAAAGGAAAGATAGCCTGAATTTGAACAACCTTTATGGCATAAATATAAATGGCCTGGCATAAAGTATTATTTAAGAGTGTCTGACCGGGCATAGTGGCTCACGCCTGTAATCCCAGCACTTTGGGAGGCCAAGATGGGAGGATCACCTGAGGACGGGAATTCAAGACCAGCCTGACCAACATGGAGAAACCCCATCTCTACTAAAAATACAAAATGTGCCAGGCATGGTGGCGCTTGCCTGTAATCCCAGCTACCTGGGAGGCTGAGGCAGGACAATCACTTGAACCTGGGAGACGGAGGTTGCGGTGAGCTGAGATCGTGCCATTGCACTCCAGCCTGGGCAACAAGAGCAAAACTCTGTCTTAAAAAAAAAAAAAAAAAAAAAGTGTCTTGGAGAAAGAAGTCACTTGACCTCACCAGACCTCAGTTTCCACAGTTGAGGAATGACAGTAATTAGGATGCTATTAGGAAACAAAGGGCCTATAAAATATAAATCATACAGAATAATATAGGACAAATAGAGCTTAGTAAATTCATTTTATTCATCCAACAAATATTTGCCAAATACCACTATGTTCCAGGTACTGAAGATACAACAGTGAACAAAGCATACAAAAATGCCTTCCCTCATGGGCTCATTCCACAGTTGGAGGGGGAAGGAAGATAGACAATACATCAGTTAGCAAAATGTTGGATTGAATCATATGAAATTGCCATTTTTGTAGGTAAAAATTTCATATGGTTCAACCTAACATATACTTAAATGTCGTTGTCTTGTAATGAAGTATTAATTCAAGACAAACCTAGTTCAAGACCAGCCTAGGCAACATTGTGAGACCCCGTTTTTATTTAAAAAAAAAAAAAAAGAAGAAATTAGCTGAGTGTGGTAGCAAGCACCTGTAGTCTCAGCTGCTCAAGAGGCTGAAGTGGGAGGATTACTTGGACCTGGGAGGTTGAGGTGGCAGTAAGCTGTGATTGTGCCACTGCACTCCAGCCTGGGTGACAGAGTGAAACCCTGTGTCAAAAAAAAAAGTTGTTTTCAGAGCTGAGGCTAAGCCGTGACCTATGCATACTCCAGTGCTATTTTCAGTATATTCAGTTGGTTGGCTTTTGTCTGTATCTCAGTAGCCCCAGATGCATAGCCAAGGAGTTTATAATAATTTCAGAAGGTATTCCATTTCTCTAAAATATTTTTTAAGGGGGAAATAACTTTTTTGTAGATCAGGTGATGGTTTGTGAAACATAGATTCTGATTGTGAGAGACTGGAGGCAAGGAAGTGTCTGGTATCTATTTCAGAAGTCTAGATAAGAGACTGTTAGAAGCCTTTTGAAAAGAACTTGAATGAAAGATTTTAATCTTTTTGATATAAACTTATGTGTTTATAATGTTCAGAATATCTATGTTTATATAGTATACTCTTTTGAAGCAGTATAATTAAATTAGTAATCACTAGAGCTAGACTACTTGGGTTCAAATCCTGGTTCCGCTATTTGCTAACAATTATGACCTTAGAGAAATGACGTAACCTCTCTCTGTGATTCAGTTTATGCCTCTGTAAAATGGGAGGAAAAATTAAAGGAGTT